ATGAAGGCTTGTGGAAAATTATGGCAAAATTTGATTGCCCAAAGAAGTTCATTAGTATTGTATGTCAGTTTCATGACAGCATGCTTACGTGCGTTCTGGATAATGGACACTTTCCTAGTCACTAGTTGGAGTGAAAGAAGGTTCTGTGCTTACTCCCATGCTTTTTACCATGATGTTTTCAGCAATGTCAGATGCTTTCAATGAGGATAAAAATGGCATCAAGGTAAGCTACTGCACTGAAGGTAAATTATTTAATTTGAAAAGGCTACAAGTAAAGACTGAAGAGGAGGGAGAGTTATTAGTATGCAACTTTCTGTTTGCAGATGATTGTATACTCAGTGCAGCCTCTGAGGCTAAGATACAACAAAGTGTGGATCGATTCTCTGCTGCTTGTGCTAATTTTGGCCTAACAACTAACACCAAGAAATAATAGGTTTTCCACCAACCAGAACCACACCATCCATATGTGGAACCATCAGTTGTAGCAAATAGAGAAATATTGAATGCTATGGATACTTACCTTACACTTACCTTAGCAGTATACTTTCCATGGATATACACATAGATGATGAGATTGATGTACACATTGTCAAAACTAGCTGATTTGGGAGGCTCTGAAGGAAAGTGTGAGAGAAAAGAAGTATTAGACTGTCTACCAAACTGAAGGTCTTTAGAGCTGTTGTGCTGATTCTCATTATTGTATGCCTATGAAATCTGGAGTCTGCCAGTGCCATGCCAGGAAACTGAATCACTTTTCCTTGAATTGTATTAGGAAGATTCTGAAGATAAGGCAAGATAAGGTACCAGACACTGAGGTCCTTTCTTGAGCTGAACTAGCAATCATTCAAACTCTACTGCAAAGAGCACAATTCCAATGGGCTATCCACGTTATTTCAATGCCAAATACACGTTTGCCTAAAAGACTCAACATAAGGCAAGCACCCACATAGAGGTCAGAAGAAGTGATACAAGCACACTCTCAAGGTCTCCCTGAAGAACCTTGGAATCAGTTGTATGACATGGAAGACACTGGCACAGGATTACCTGGCATGGTATGGCAGCATCAAAGAAGGTGCTTTGCTCTTTGAGCGAAGCAGAATTGCAATAACTTAAAAGAAACGCGAGATGCACAAATTTACAGACATTTCCACTTCAGATGTTTATGTGAACTATTTCTGCCAGACCTGTGGTAGAGCCTTCTGAGCTGGTATTGGTCTGATCAGACACATTGTACCTTGACCCCAACATAGTGATGTCATTTTGGTCCTCTTCAAGAATGAAGGACAACAACCAACCAACCAACCAACCATATCTTGTATGTAAATAGCTTTTTGCATTTTGCTTTCCTGTTAAAATGTGAGCTTCTTGAGGGCAAGAATCTTGTTTTCCCTTTCCCTTTGCATTTGTAACATGTAGCACATTGCCTGGACTATAGTAGGTACTTAATAAATTTTACTTTGATGGGGGAGGAGGGGAAGAGACAGAGGTTTAGGCATAAAATAGTAAACCCCTCTCCCAAATGAAAGAAAGAGAAGAGGATCTTTAAACATTTTTTTTTAAATACACAGGAAAAAATTCTGAAAGAATCAGAGACAAGCAGGGAGGACACCTTTGGAAATTACATGTTGAGCTTATATATTTTAGAAGAAACAAAAGCTGTATTTTCACAATACAGATTCACAGTTTCATATGCATTTGTCTCTTTCTGTTCTCTCTATATTACTTGAAGTTAGGAAGGCCTGAGTTTAGATCCTTCCTCAGACACTTATTAGCTGTGTGACTGGGCAAGTCCCTTAACCACTCTCAGCTTAAGTTTTCTTATCTGTAAAATGAAAATAATAATAGCACCTACTGCACAGGGATGTTGTAAAGCTCAAATGAGATAGTACACGCAAAGTGTTTTGTAAACTATAATAGCTATCATTATTGCTATTGCTTTATTTATTTATTTATTTTGGCTAGGCAGTGGGGTTAAATGACTTGCCCAGGGTCACACAGCTAGTGCATGTTATGTGTCTGAGGCCGGATTTGAACTCAGGTCCTCCTGACTCCAGGGTCAGTGCTCTATCCGCTGTGCCACCTAGCTGTCCCCTATCATTGCTATTATTAAATTTGGCACAGATTGATCATTTCCCAAGCAAGTGTTTCTGATGTAAATCCACAAGAAGTAGCCCACAAATCTTGAAATTGCTTTAGGCAGCAAACACTTGATCTCCTTGCCCAAAAGAGAAATAGACAAGAACATCTCCAGTTTAGAATGTAAAATTGTTTAAAATCTTAGCAGAGGAGAGAGGGTGGTGATAATCTATGACACAGTATTTTGCCACGTGACAAAAAATGGTGCAGGGAAAAACACTACAAAGGAATATTCAAGGCAGAAATCCCAGAACAAAGAACCTGCAGTTCCATCATTAAAGCAACAGAGTTTTCCAGCAGCTGACAGTCTCAGAGTCTAACAGTAGTCTACTTTTGCTCAGACCCAAACCCAGATCAGGAACTTGCAGAGGTCCGATGGAGGCAGGAAGGGGGATGAGGAGTGGGGAGTGGAATAGCAATCAGACTTTGCCCTGGTTCAGACCATTTTGGGAGTACCTGGAGACTTTCAGGTCCCTAACCTGAGCTTTCCCTGAGACCCTGTAACAATACAATATTCAGTACTCCAAGAAAGGAACAACAGGACCATCCCAGACCTTCCCTCCAGAGGTGCCAGAGCTCAGCCCTAACATCAAGTCCAAAGTCAGGAAATAGTCTAGAAGAATGAGCAAACAAACAAACAAAAAAATCCCATCATAAAAAACTATTATGGTGACAGAGATGCTTAAAACACAAACCCAGAAGGGGAGAATGACTCCAAAACATCTACAGGCAAAGTCTCAAAGAAAAACACAGCTTGGACACAGATTCAACTAGAATTCCTGAAAGGGATGAAGCCCAAGTTAAAAAAAAAAAGTTTAAAATGTTTTTAGCAGTGTCATGAGAGTGCTAGAGGAAAAAAATAGAGAAGAAATGAGACCTATAGAAGAAAGAATTGGAAAGAAAAATAACAGCTTGGCACAAGATGTAAAAAACCTTACCAAAGCAGTAAATTCCCTGAATATTAGAATGAACCAGGTAGAAGCTCGTGACTCCATGAGACAACAAGAAATCATAAAACGAAGTCAAAAGATTGGGAAAAAAGATGACAGAAGAGAATGTAAGAAATTTCAGAGCAAAAAGTGAGCTGGAAAACAGATTGAGAAGAGGTAATCTTAGAATCACTAGACTACCTCAAAGACATCACCAAAAAAAGAGCCTAGACATCCCGCTTTGAAAAATCATAAAAGAAAATTGTCTAGATCTCTTAGAACTAGAAGGCACGGTAGAAATAGAACGAATCAACTCCTGAAAGAAACCCCAAAATGAAAACTTCCAAGAACAATATGGCCAAAATTCAGAATTTGTTTCCAGTTCAAAGAAGAAATATATCTGAATTCTGTTCACTTTCACTATCCTACTGTCTCATCCAAAGGCCCAACCTTCATTTTACAATGATTAAAATTTTTATTGTGCTCATTGTTATTAATTTTTACTGCTCAGATCTTCAAAATTCCTAATGATGCTTTGTAGTTTCCTTTTGACAGTACCGCCATTCATTTGGATGTGAATTACCAGAAGTGGGTGACTGTCCTCAAGTTTGTTGCAGGATGCTGTCTATTACATCCCTCATGCATGTCCTAGGCAGCCAGCACACTTCCCAGCTGGTTATATGGTTATATCAGGTCAACGAATGACTTAGCCTGTACCCCTTAGTCAATAGTTCGCTGCTACCGCCTGTCTTCCTAGAGCCAGTAACAGATGTCCTCACTGTTGATATCTGTGGATCTCATTGTCCTTCCACAAAACTAGGGAAGCTTCTGCTTCTTCAGAAGATCCAGGTCCATCCTTGAATATACTGCAGAGCTCCACCTGCCCCCAAGTTCATTTTGCCCTTCTTTATTAGTCTTCCAACTTTTAAATACCTGATCTTATTGATTTTATTACTTTGGATTTCCTTTTATTTCCTCAGAACCTCTTTTTTAGAATCTTAGTTTTAGACCTAGAAAAGACCTCAGAGGTCATTTAGACCAATGCCATCATGATTACAGTTAGGAAAATAAAGACCCAGAAAGGTTAAGTGATTTGCCTAAAGTCCCACAGAGAGTAAGTAGTAGAGCCAGAAGTATAAACCCTGCATTTTCACTGTGTCATGCTGCTTCTTAACATTTCATCCTCCCTGCTAAGATGAAGAAATGCCAAATTACCTTTTCCTATATCAAGGATACAGATTTGCACTGAGCTGACATGTAATTATTTTGCCTGTGGCACAGTCTCTGAAGGTCAGTGAAACTGTTCCCCCAGACTCCATAACTACTGAAATTGATATTCCTCTGTTGCTGTGGTTCCCCTGACTTGCCATACCATACACTTTTAATAATCTGTTCCTGAATGACTATTTTTAGAGTATTCTTCCCTTCATTATATCACCTTGCCCCCTACTAATGCTTATGAGAGAAGCTGAGAAAATGCTCAAATAACCTAGGGACTTTGTGAAGTCTGTATGGTAAGAAATGGAAGATAAAAGAATCTCATGGATTAACTGTAGACTGTGAATAGTGAGAACTGGTTTAATCAGTCTCTGGGGACCCTGCTTAGTGAGTGGGAGTTGGGAGAACCAGGAAAAACTGCATGGACCTAGCCTATCCTGTGTGTGGGGGTGTGAGTGTGTGGGTGTGGGTGTGTTTGTATATGCTCTGGCCTTACAGTTTGCCTCCTGAATGGGTACTGCCTCAAGTGCCTCTTATCAAACCCTTTCTCCAGAAGCCTCATCCCTTTATCATCTATCTGCCTTAAAGAGTTACCCACATGTCTGCCCCATTGTATTCCTGACCACATATGCTAACCACACATTTAGGAAACAAAGTACCTTCATGAAATGTAACTCACCTTTATTTACACAGTTTTTTTTTTTCCTTTTCCAAAAGGTACCATTGGGTCTCAGCAAACAAACATTTCAGGGAAATGCGGACAGCTAGGCTTTTCACAGATGAGTGGAAAAAGTGGCAGTGTGGATTCTGATTTGCAATTTTTAGGAGCAAATAATAGCCGTCAGGATAAAGGTATAAATACTAACTTGTTTTGCGGTATGTACTATTTAGAAGTATGTTCAAGGAGTGTTTATAATTTATATGTGATACAGTCTCCTCAAAATCATCATATAAATAATAGAAGCTTGTTGCATCAACAGAACTCTGAATTATTTTTAGAAATATGTTTACTTGGAGCTATATAATATTTTCTTAGGAGCCCTGATTCTAAATATGATGTGGATCTCTGTTGTGAAACAAGCTATTTTATTTGTTTATTTGTTTGTTTGTTTTTGGTTAGGCAGTAGGGTTAAGTGACTTGCCCAGGGTCACACAGCTAGTAAGTGTTATGTGTCTGAGGCCAGATTTGAACTCAAATCCTCCTGAATCCATGACTGGTGCTCTATCCACTGCGCCACCTAGCTGCCCCAGAAACAAGCTATTTTTAATAATATTTCATCACATAATCACAACATTGTACTGGAAAAGTGTTATAATAATAATTTTCCCAGATAGTCTAACTTTTTGGGTTGGTCAGAGCCTCCCAAACCAGAAGACAGACCTATCCCTCAACAAGCACCCCTTTCCAATGTTAAGTTAGGTAAAATATGAGGTATCGCCAGGTATGGTAGCATATACCTGTAATACCTGCTACTAAATGCCTGATACTAGAGCTGGTAGATTGCTTGAACTTAGCTAAATATCTGAGCAGTGATAGGGCTGGAGCTGTTCCAGTGTCTGCACTAAGTCCTGCACTAATATGATGAGCCCCCAGGAGCAGGGGGTGTTAGGAAGGCTTAATTGGACAAGGTTAGAAGTAGAACAGGTAAAAATTTCTTTATCAGTCAGCAATTGTATCAGGACTGTGAGTGTCTGGTACATTTCCAGCCTGGACAGGATAAGGAAAGCCACTCTCAGAGCAACAGAAGGCAAGAAGTATAGCAAAATAGTATTTGAGGATGTCAGCACAGGTGAGTTTGTGGATTATTGCCATTAGTAGTTTTGGCCCAGGTTTTGCCTTATTTGCAATATCAAAATTGAATATTTCCAGAAACACTTTAATTTGGATTATATAGCATAATTGAAATTTCATGTTTTATTTTTGTTAGGGATTTTTTTTCCACTTGAAATAGATTGGGTAGATTTATTCTATGGTACATTAACATTTTAGCTTTCCCTGGGGACATTATATTTCCTAAATGCTTTTATAGGCATTCACTGTAATGAAACAGTGCAGTTCTCCTGTTTTACTGCTAAATCCCATCAAAATGGTGTCATGGACAACTCTGATCATCTCTACCTCAAACTACCAGAAAGCTAAAAGAACAGGTCTGTTCCTGCTTCAGGATATCCCAGGGCTAGTTGACTTTATTTGTAGGTCAGCCTAGTAGTTTATAATTGACCCTGAGGAGTCCCATGTAGTTGTTGATTAATTCTAGATCCTGACACAAACATGTAAACTCTCACTGAGGCTTTGGAACTGCTGTGCCTGTTCAGGGATATTGTAGAAAACTAAAACTAGCCCAGAGCCAAAACACCCCTCCCAAAGGGGAAGAGACAGATTGGAGAAATATTGGGCCTACACAATTCTAAAGAGTAGTTTCAAGACAATGCCAGGATCTTTGAAAGGCTTTTCGGGTATGGCTTCCAAATACCTAACCAACTCAAAGTTTCTCTCCATTTTTAGATTGTCTGCTTTTCCTTTGGGGTATTAGGAAAGTTTATGATCTTCTTACAAGTCATCACTTCAATTTAGCAGCTACAGCCATACAGACTCTTTTATAATAAAGCTGTTTACTATAGTCCCCCTAGGTAGAGGTTCTTAACCTAGGGTTTGTGAATTTGTTTTAAAAGTAATTTAATTATTGTGTTTCAATATAATTGGTTTCCTTTATAATCCTTTGTATTTTATGTCATAATTTAAGAACTCCTGCCTTAAGTGTTTTAGAGTGTGAGCAAATGACATGATAAAGTATATAAATATCATAAGTATAACAAAGCGGCTAGAGAATTGGACAAGAAATTAGGAAACCCTAGTTCTGGTTTTGGTCACTAAGTATGTTTTGACCTTTGGTCAATTTCTTAAGGGTATCTGCACCTGTAGAAATGTAGACTGTCGCAGGGCCTGGCCCTGCCTAAATTAAGAATAAATGAGACAAAAATGTATGAAGAATTTTGGGCTCTCCCAGAAGAAAGCAATTATTTAAGTCACACATGATTAAATTTTTAATAACAAAATATAGAATACTAATTTTCTTTGGTACTTAAATACTTAAGAATCTCTGATTTGGTTAGTATGAGTGTTAGTATGGATTGTGGCCCCCTAGTAGATCATTTTTGAGAATTGTAATGGGTGAAAAATTCATCATCTGTGGGCAAGGTCATGATGAGCTTTTCCAAACTTAACTAAACTGGTCTTAGCTGTGACAGATGTATAGTTTTGCCAGGCCCGTACTTGAAATCTTTCCAGCTTGGTACGACCTTCCTAGGCTTTCACTCTATTGGTGTAGTCTTCATTTACCCAAGGTACGCACTGAGTCATTGGAGGAAGACTGAGGTGATAATTATAGGAAATTATTAAAAAATGATAAAGGGGGAAAGTAAGTGTTTATGAGTTAGTTAAGTATATGTAAATAGTATATTCTCTTTTATCTTATACAGTGTGTGCAAGCCTAAATTTTGGCAGTAAAACTCAACAAACATTTGGTAGTCCTGCAGAGCATACTTTATCATATCCTAGTCCCAATACAAGCCAGGGAGCTCTCATCCTTCCATCCTATCCACTCTCCTCACCTCGAACCAGTCCAAAACACACATCTCCTCTTAATGGATCTCCAAAGAAGTCTCAAGATAATTCTATTAACTTCTCAAATTCCTGGCCTCTTAAGAGTTTTGAAGGGCTCCCAAAGCCAAGTCCACAGAAAAAGCTCTTCAGTCAAAAATCAGTGGATGCTTCAGGTAAAAATCTGAAAAAAAAAAAATGATACTCTATGTGTTTTTATTTGTAAGTTTGAATTCAACTTGGAATTACCATAAACTCAGTAGATTGAAACATTTGTCTTAGTATTATGGGAATAAAAACTAAATAACTTATTGGTGTTATAATGTACAAGTCATTAGATTCCAACCATAATAGTCATTTTTTTCCTTAAAATATTTATACTAACCTTTTATTTGTTGCCCAAAATCTTATCATCAAACAGTTATTTGTAGAATTCCATATTGAGCAGCATGTCAGTTGGACAGCTAACATCATGAAGGGATTTCTGATATTCAGCTCGATTATATAATTTTTTTCAGTATCTCACCCAATGTCTTAAACAGTTTAATTTGCCAATTAACTCAAAAGCATTCCTCAAGAGAGTGTTTGCCAATTTTGTTTATTTTGAACACTGAAAATTATTCCTTCTCATCAAATATACCCTGTTCTTACATAATATTTGTGTTTATATCAACCAGCAGAAAATTACTTTTGGTTTTAATTTTATTTATGGGAAAATCTATCACTTTTATTATTTTTGATGGAAAATATGTGATTTTTGTTAAAAAAAAATACTGTATTCTAGGTTTTTATGCACTATAATTCTCAGCTTATGTCATTCTGTAAATTGATAAAATATCTGTTTTATACAGGAGAAAATTCACAAGAAAAACCTTCTCCAATACAACTTAAACCTGCATTAGTGAGATCACCATCTTCCCGGAGAGGCCTAAATGGAACAAAACCAGTTCCGCCAATTCCACGGGGGATAAGCCTATTGCCCGATAAAGCAGATTTTATCACTGTGGAATATGAAAAAAAAGATCATATTTGGAGGAATGGAAAAGATAATCTTGCAGTTGATCTTTCTGAATTAAATGTCAGAGATAAAGAATCAGATCAGGAAGAGGTTAGACCTAAATGTTACTTTTCGAATATCTGCTATTATTTTCTTTGTAACTTGGTTATTATAAATTGTTTTGGAATAATAATAGCACTGTCATTTTTTTTGTTTGTTTGTTTTTGTTTTTACCATAAATTGACTGACAGCAAAAAAATCAGTATAATACTTTGATTTAGAATCAATTTCATGGTTCCATATGTGCCACATTTACATTTAATTTATGTTGCCTCGGGTTACTAAAGATCAATGTGTTTTGACATTAATTACCCAGCATTTTAAAATAAAAAATACATTGCTATACATACTCGAGTGATATTAATGCTGCTCCATTTTAAGAGACTTAAAATTTAAATATCAGTGTGTAGAGCTAATTCACAAAGCACTAATATTAAAAATAAAGCAGTTCAACATGTAGATACTCAGGAAAAATAAAAAGTGTCTAGTACCACTTTTCCCAAATTTGAATGTGACAAGAGAAGATAATATCCATAGGTAAAAGTCACAAAGGTAAAGAAACTTAGAGTACATGATGTGTTTGCATTCAGACTTTTTATAGATTTTATTTCTACCATAGAAGTACCCTAAAAATTAAATGGAAAAAACAATTGAATCTTATATTCTTTTTAACCGGTTAACCATCTTAGCATGTTTAGCCCTATTATAACTGCCCTCATTATTTGCTATTGTAAAAACTTAGTAGTTAAAGAAGCATTTTGTTTTATTTGGTGCAAACTGAACTTGGAAAGAACTGCATATTTTATGGCCAGTACTATATTCAGACTGTCACAGAAGAAAAGACCAAAAGGTTTTTTAAATACTTGTTTTACACAAGGCACTATGGTTGGTGCTGGGGACGCAAGGATAATAATGAAATGGTTCTTTTAAAAAATTGTATTTCTTGAATTAAAAATTGTAATTAATTTGTAGAAAGGTTCTTTAAATGATTAGTTTTGTGATTAGGTACATAAATAAAACTACACATCACTAATTTTCAAAGCATAATTCACTAATTTGCCCAAGGTTCTGTCCTGAAATGTTTATCTGCCAGGATTCTATCTTTAGCCATTACCTAAATTTTTAAATGGTCAAAGTTTAGGTTACTGACAGCTTTTTCAGGCAGCACAGCATATTGGATAGAGACCTCTGACACACTGGGTGACTTTCGACAAGTCACTTAACCTCTCAGTGCTCTAAGCAATCTCTTAACACCATAAGTTGCAGAAAAGGTGCCTCCCTGAATTGATAGAGGCCGTTTCTTCACCTGGGAGTTCCCTATTCCAGGAAAATTATAGGAAATTATATATTCCATCCCTATATTTGTGTTATATTATACTACTAAGGAGGTTTTTAGTTTTCAGTATTTGTATTAGAGCCACATTAGCACAACAACCTGAAGCTAACAATTATTGGCCTCAACTTAGTTAACTGTGAGACGTTAAAGGGTTTTAACTTCCCTTTTCCTTGACCTTCTGCATATGCCTTCAGATCCTTGACTGTAAAATTCTCTGCGAATTACATTGTTGTTTTCATGTGTTAAACTCTCTCATCCTGTTCAAGAAATATTTGGTACCTAATTGCTTAGTAGAAGCTAGACCGTAAAAATGAGTCCCCTCTTGCTAATAATGGTGCAGTTTGCATAAGGTTGCCAGCTTTTCCAGTAGCATCATGAAAGCATATTAACAAACCTCACTGTAAAGTTATTCACTACAATGTCTGCCAGATTACTACTCCTCTATAATAATTGTTCATTTAGAATTAACTTCTCTTTGTGCTCTACCATTTACCTACCATAGTGTTATCACAGAACAAATTAATGACTTGGGGTATGGCTATTAAAAAAAAAAAGCTTAAATCAACCTATAAATTTAATTCTTTTCAACATTTTTTAGATGCAGAGCTCTCTTAGATCTCTTCGTAATAGTGCAGCTAAGAAAAGGGCGAAGCTGAGTGGCAGTACTTCTGACCTTGAAAGCCCAGATTCTGCAATTAAGCTCGACTTGAATATGGACTCCCCATCCCGGTCGTCATCTCCAAACGTCAGCTCATACAGTGAAAGTGGAGTTTACAGCCAAGAGTCTTTGACTTCTTCTCTGTCAACAACTCCCCAGGGAAAGAGAATAATGTGTGTGTTGGGCCTTTTAACAAGTATATGCTAATATTAATTCTATGCATTGTTGATATTGTATCAGACTGAAGTACTTTATAATATAAACTAGCTTTAGAATTAATATTTACAAGTTTCTGTTTCATTTTTTGCCTTGTTAGATTTTAACTTCCGTTTCCTAGACTACCACATCTGTTCCTGCCTTCAGGTTACTAGTACTAATGACCCTATTTCAGCTTGTCCAGCTTCCTCAAGCCTTCTGGAGGCGCAGATTCATATCTCTTAGACCACTACTACTTAGATCTAGCCTTGCCATTGACAACTGGGTCTTGCTTCCACTTAGTTGCTACCACTCAGTCCTCCAAAATGGATATGAGGTAGTCTTCTGAAGAGTGTCCTTATAAAAAGAATTAATTTGATTCAGCTGGACTTAAAGTCACCTGGCCATCCTCACAGCCACAGAAAAATTATTGTTACTCATGCAATTCATGGTGACCATTTTGTTCTTCCTAGATAGCTGTACTCCAACAACTCTAAAACAAAAGTCCTAAGCTAGACTTTTAAGCTTGTTTGTATCTCTGTATTTAGTTATTGGAAGTTCTCACTCCTTGCTTTCATGTGAGATTGTATACACAGAACATTTAATACACAAAAGAATTGATCATTGCTATTTTGACTTTTCCCTCTCTCCCTAGTAAGTGAATGTCATCTATTAGGAGTAAAGTATAGTGGAAAGAACCCTAAGTTAATATATAGAAAGTCCAGGTTCTGATCCTGGTTCTGCCACTCTTTGTCACTTCGGGCAAGTAACTTGACTTCTCTGAGCCTCACTTTTCTCATCTGTAAAAGGAAGAGTTTGGAATGGGTGATGTCGAAGGTTCTTTTCAGTTCCACAATTTTGTGATCCTAACAGTTAAATATTTAAAATAAAGTTAAACCTGTAATGGTTTAAGTGAAGTCTAACTGAAACTTGTTAGTTGCATAATCAAAAGAAAAAAAATAGAAATCTTGTTTGAAAAATGAGTACAAAATGATTATGATGCTTGAATCACTAAATCTAAGAGACTAACTGTATTTCCTATACCCTGTTGTGAGAAGTTTGTCTCTTCAAATGATAACCTATATATTCCAATCTTTTAAAATGTTTTACTACTGATTTCTTTTTCTTACACAGAATTCTTTTGTTCCAGCTCTTATGCCAAATTAGAATAATAAAATGCACAATCAGAACAGAATTTTTAGGTCAAAGGATTTTTCCTTGGTCTTCCTACAAGGCAATTATATTAGATAATATTGAGATCTATAGTATCGTATAGAGCTGTAACAGACCCCAGAAATCTGTTCATCAGCAGACATTCATTAAGCACAAATCATTGTGGTAGACCTTGAGAGTACCCATATAAAGAATGAAATAATCCCTTTTAGAACATATGGTCCTACCCCCAAATTTTATAGAGAAGGAAACATGGCCCAGAGAGAAGAAGTGAATTTTCCAAGGTCAGTCATTAAGTAAATATCTGAATAGGGACTTGAGCCAAGACACTGATACCAAATCCAGTACTTTTTCTGTTATTCCATGATAGAATGTCACACAAACACTCTGGAACACAGAGCACTACATAGATTCGAAATCTATCGTTTTATGGAGCAATACTAGTCTATCAGACAGTAAAAGCCAGTGTTAGAGTGTTTAGAGAATGCTTTAAGTACCTGCCCTGTCAGTAAGGTCTCAAAATGCCTTTAAATTTAAGACTGCCCAAAAAAACAAATTTGACTTCTTAATACCTGTAGAAACTGAAGACATTACTCAATTGATATAAAAGATGAGTAGTTTTCAAAGGAAGAAATCAAAACTATCAATAGTCTTATTAAAAAAAAATGTTCTGAATCATTAATAATTAGGGAAATGCAAATTAAAACAACTCTGAGGTACCACTTCACACTCATCAGATTGATTAAAATGACAAAAATGGAAAATGACATACTGGTGGGACTGTGGGAAAACAGAATTGTTGGTGGAGCTGTGAATTGGTCTAACCATTCTAGAAAGCAATTTGGAACCATAGCCAAACGATATTAAACTATACCTACCCTTTGACCCAGAAATACTACTAACAGATCTGAGGAAGAAGATCCATATGTACAAAAACTTTAATAGCCACTCTTTTAGAGGTGACAAAGAATTAAAAACTGAGGAGGATGCCACTAGTTGTGGTATGGCTGAACAAGTTATTGTATGTGAATGTCATGGAATACTATTGTGCTATAAGAAATTATTAAAGGGAAGGTTTCAGAAAAACCTAGGAAGAGTCGTGAAATGTTGCAAAGTGAAGTGAGCAGAACCAAGAGAACAATCTACACAGTAACATTAATATTGTGAAGTTAATCAGCTTAAAAAGACTTAGTAATTCTGGTCAACACAACGACCAACCACAATTCCAGAGGACTCATAATTAAACATGCTGTGTGTCTCTAAATAGAGGGCTGATGGACTCAGAAGCATATTTCTCTCTCTCTTTTTTTTTGGCATTACTAATGTGGGACCTTTTCTTGCGTGATTATCCATATTTGTATGGGGTTTTGATTTTCTTGCCTTCTGGGAAGTAGAAGAAAGGGGAAGGGAAAGAATTTGGAACAGAAAATAAAATTTTATTTTAAAAAATTAAAGAAGGCAGTATAGAGTAACATGTCACCTCTGAGAAGTTTCTCCTCAAATTGTAAACAGTACTAAAGGGCAATAAACTCAAATAGCAGGAAAAAAAATAAAGACTTTTTTTCATCCCAAATCACATGTACTTGAACATTTCTGAATAATTAACTCCTGGCAATTTTTTAAAAGATTTCTTATTAAGATAATAAAAACTCCAGCTCAGATTAGTTTTGTAGTTATCAGCATCTACTAGATCTGTTTCATATAATCAACTGTCAGATATTTGTAATGTCACTAATGTATACTGGTGCAAAGTCATTCTCTTAAAATTTCTAATTAATACTCTCCATGATTTTCTTTCTTGATGAAACAAGAAATACATGTCTTTCTGATGCCAGGAAAAGAAAACTAAAAAATTACCTAAAATTATTCTATCTCTTCTTCTGAGGAAGAAAGTTATTTATAATTTACATTGGTTTCTGATTCCTATATTTATAATGCAATTAATTTTTAATTACTCAAGGTAGTACAGGGATATAGATAAATACAGTGGGAAACTAGTGATCATTCTGTTTTGTAATGTACTGTTTTGGATCCAATATTAATGGTTCCTCCCATAACAGCTCTTCAGAAGGAATTACAAAGTTCTAGTTTGTCACACATACACACTTGTACATATATGCATATACTTTTGAATAAATCTATTCGAATAGAATGGGTAGACTCAGTAGTGAATTGACAGCTTTGATATAAGGATTTGTGTACTTAATTTTTCATGTCTTACTCTCTAAAATAGTTTCTTGAAGGACAGTGGTGTGCTAAATATTTTCTACATATTTAATATTCTTATTTGATTACTTCATATTTTTTTAGGGCAGACATATTTCCCACATTTGGATCCAAACCTTATTCAACAAGACTCTCCTCTGCAAAAAATAAGAATTCTCATGTAGTGGAACAGAGCTCCAATTCAGGTATTCATTGTCTATATTATAAACAAATAGAATATCTAAATAGAAGCATGAAACTTCCTCATTAGAGGAAAAGGTGAAATTTTACATAGATGGTGATGCAGAGTGTATTTCATATCTAAGGTTTCTTTGAGTAGGCATTCTTATGTATTGGATCTTTTTTGTTTAAAAGTAAACTAACAGTGAAACATGATATTTATCTCCAGATAGAGAAGGGATTGACTCAGCATAGATTGAAGCATATTTCCTTCCTCCCTTCTCTCCTTCTTTTCTTCCTTCTTTTCTACACATATTTGTAGTAGTCTTTGTTTTTCCATGGATGGGAGAGGGAGAGAATTTGGAACTGAAATTAAATAAAATTGAATTACTTTTTTGAAGTTAACTAATAGATCTGTAACTTACAAATTTAATTTATGAAAAATAACATGGAAATTTACCTTAGAAAAATGAGATAAAGAAGTGTATATACCATATACTTTCACAGTTTTCCCTTTTTCCTCATAGTTATTCAGCTTTCAGAAGAAGGGATAGGGTATCCTCCATGATATTTTGTGATTCCTTATAGCAGCTATACCTGACCAAGCATTTTTTGCTTCCTATTGGCTTCCTGATGCACCATGGAACACTTTTTCTGTAAAAATAGTATTATAAAAACTGATAAGTTTCAGCTAGATAGTTAAACAGTATTGTGAAATGGCCTGGAAAATTTAGAAAAATGAATTTCAGATTCAAAATGCCCTTGCTTCATACCTGTATTGAATACTTTCCTCTAAAGATTCCTTCTTCTTTCCTCCTCCTCTTCTGAAACCATCCCTGCCCCCCCAACATTATCTCCCACCATTTCCTCCTTTATTCCAATCTCTGTTGAAGAAGTGAACCTTCTCATAAAACATAAACCTTCTGCATGTACCTTTGATCTCATCCTCACCTATCTTCTCTAGCAGATTGCTTCTATAATTGTTTCTACTTTCTCTTTAATTTTCAATGCCTTCCTTTCTATTGGTTCCATCCGTACTTGTCTACAAATGCTCTCAGGTCCCCCTCATCCTGTAAAAATCCTTACTAGATCCTATCATCCCCACTAATTAGTATCATATATCTCTCTTCCTTTTTGAGTCAGACTTTTTTAAAAAGCCATCTGTAGGAGCAACTAGGTGAATAGAGCAGTGGCCCCGAAGTAGGAGGACCTGAGTTCAAATTCGGCCTCAGACCAAACACTTGACACTTACTAGCTGTGTGACCCTGGGCAGGTCACTTAACCCCAATTGCCTAAAAAGAAAAGAAAAAGAAAAAAAAAACGCCATCTGTAGTTAGTGCCTCAACTTTCTCTCTTCTCTTCTTAACCCTTGGCAATTTGTCTCAATCAATTGAAACTGGTCTCTCCAAAGTTACTAACAATCTACTGACTTACATGTCTACTGACTGCTTCTATGTCCTCAACTCCCTTGACTTCTGTGCTTCATGTGACATTCTTGATCATCCTTAGTCATTAAGCATTTAATCCTACTATGTTCTAGGCACTATGCCAAATACTGGGGATACAAAAACAAGCAAAAGACAATCCCTGACCTCGAGGAGCTCGAAATCTAGTGGGAGAGACAACAAGCAAACAAATATATGTAAACAAGTTATAATAAAAGATAAATAGGAAATAATTAACTGAGGGAAGGCACTAGAATTAGAAAGCGTTGGAGAAGACTTTTTATAGGAGGTGTAATTTTGGTTGGGACTTAAAGGAAGTCAGGAAGTTCAGTAGTTGGAATAGAGGAGGAAGGGTGTTTCTGGGCCCACGTCTGTGCTTTTACATTAGCTGTCCCTCAATCCTGGGATGCATTCCTTCTTCAACTTCAATTTATCAAATCCCTGGTTTCCTTCAGAACTCAGCTCAAGCACCGTCTTCTATAGGAAATCTTTCCAAGCTTCTTGGTACCTCCTTCCTAAAGCTTCTTTTATTCATTTTGTATGTGTTCTGTTTATGCTCATATTTGTACATGTCCTCTTTCTCATTTCGTTGTAAATTCCTGGAGCGCATGAACTGTTTCAGTTTCATTCTTATAGCCCTCAAGTTTAATTTAGTACCTGGCACATAGTAGGTTGATTGATTGATTTTTAATAACCAACTACTTCCAAACAAATCTGAACTGCAGCCACTTTCAGTGGGACTATGTAATTTCTATTTTTGGATTGTTTAAACTGTTAAAGTATGGATTAGACTTAATAAATTCATAAATTACATTTATTTTAAGGTTGTTAAAATTTTGAGTATATCTTCCTTTATTTAATAGTTACATTCCTATTAAGTTATACAAACATTCAAATTTTATAAATTCAAACTGTGTAATTTGAATGCAACATGTGACAATGATTCTTAAAGGAATTGTGCAATGATCCAATCCAATAAACATTTATTGGCTTTCTCACTATGTGCAAGTTACTGGGCTAGAGCCTGAGAATACAAAGACAAATTGGAAAGCTATTCCTACCTTCAAGGAGTTTACATTCTACAGGATGACAAAACATGTAAACGTATAAGTATATAGCTGATTATTTGAGATAGCAATAACAACTAAGGAGATAAGGAAAGGAAGTGGCAAATGAGTTGAGGCTTGAAGGAAGCTAAGAGGAAGAGGGGAGAAAGGAGAGTGTTTCGAGAATGGAGGATAGTCTAAGCAAAGCATGGACATAAGAGTTGGAATGCTGAGCTTAGGAAACAGCAGATGGCCTCAGCCTCGGATCATTCCTACCATCCGCTCACTGCCTTCACTCCTACACACACACACACGTCGCTGAAAGAAGCTGGAGAAAATCGTACAACCATTGTGACTGGATCTAATACAAATTTATATACGTTATCTCAACTGGACCCTCATTGCTTTAAGGCCATTTTTTTTACTCTTCCTTAATTAACTCACAATCCCACTCTCCATAGGAGCTCTTTAAAACCTTTTCTTCCTTTCTCAATCCTCCCCTGGCTTCTTTCCCTCTGCCCCTCACCCTTTTACCTGAGTACCTTGCCTCATAGATTACTGAAAAAATTTAAGTCATTCACTAAGAGCTCCCTCTTTTCTCATCACCCAGATGCCTTCTGTCCTCCCATCTCATCTTTCATTCCTGTAGCACCTGAAGAAGTGGTCCTTCTCCTTAGCAAGACAAACCCTTTCACCTGCATGAGGAATCCCATTCCATCCCATCTTCTGTTGCCCCCCTATCGTTCCCTTTCTCTCACTTATCTCCCTTTCTACTGCTTCCCTCCTAACATGCCCGTAAACATATCCGTGTCTTTCAGATCTTAAAAAAACCCTCACTTGATCTATCCATCCGCCCATGCTAGCTATCATCCCATGTCTCTTTTCCCTTTTGTGCCTTAAATCCCTATCTACAATAGTTGTTTCCACTTCCTCTCCTCTCCTTCTCTTCTCATCATTCAGCTGAAACTGCCCTCTCCAAAGTTACCAAGGATCTCTTAACTGCCAAATCCAATAATTCTCATTCTTGTTGACCTCTCTGTAGCTGTCAGTCGCCCTCTTCTTGATATTCTTTTCTCTCTAGGTTTTCAGAACACCTCTCTCTCCTGGTTCTTCCCCTACTTGTCTGACTGTTCCTCAGTCTTCTTTACTGGATCTTCATCCAGGTCGTGCCTGCCAACCACAGATGTCCCAGAGGGCTCTGTCCTGGGACTTCTCTTCTCCCTCTCTAGCATTTTGCTTAATGATCTCATCAGTTACCATGGATTCAATTATCATCTCTTTGCTAATTATTCTCACACTATTTATCCAGCCCTAACTTCTCTGTGACCTGTAGTCTGGCATCACTAACTGCCTTTTAGACATTTTGAATAGGGTATTGTGTAGACATCTTAAACTAGACTTGTCTGAAATTGAACTCATTATTTTTCCCACAACAGCTTCCCCCCTTGTAAACTTCCTTATTATTACTCAAGGGCTCCCCATCCTCCCAGTCACCATGTTCTCAACCTACATGTAATCGTTGACTCTTTACTCTCCCCCCCAACCCCAGCACCACATATGCCCATATCCAACATATTGCCAAGTCCTGTCAATTCTACTTTCATAGCATGTCTCATATTTAGCTCCTTCTCACCTCCAACACTGCCACCACTCTGGTACAGGTCCTCTTCATCTCACCCTGGGACTTTTGCAACAGCTTTCTGATTGGTCTCCCTGCCTGGAGTCCTCCCTACGCCAGTCCATCCTCTACTCAGCTGCCAAAGTGATCCTAAAGTGTAGATCTGACCACGTCACCCTCCCTATTCAGTAAACCGATGGTTCCTTGTCACCTCCAGGAACAAATATAAAATCTTTTGTTTGACATTAAAAGCCTTTCATAACTTTCCCCTCTGCCAATCTTCTTATACTTTATGCTACTCCCCCTGCCCCAATCCCGCCCCCGTAATCCAGTGACAATGGCCTCCTTGCTGTTCTTTGTACAAGACTCTCCATCATCTCCCAATTCTGGACATTTTTACTGACTGTCCCCCATGCCTGGAATATTCTCCCTCCTCATCTCTACCTCCTGTCTTCTCTGGCTTCCTTCAGGTTTTAGCTAAAACTTCACCTTCTACAAGGAGCCTTTCTAGATCCATCTTAATTCTAGTGCCTTCACTCTATTATTTCCAATTTATCTTGTGTATAACTTGTTTCTATATAGTTGTTTGCATGCTGTCTCCCATATTATACTTGTGAGCTCCTCAAGAGCAAGGATTTTTTTGTTTTTTAAACCTTTCTTTGTATCCCCAGTGCTTAGCACAGTGCTTGGCATATAGTAAGTGCTTAATAAATGTTTATTAACTGACTGAGATAGTAGTAATCCAGAACCTGGTGGCTGTTATCTACCAGTCTCCCCTTTCTCTCCCCGAATCATTCTTCCTCCATTTTCTAGTTCAGCACTTACTCACATTGTCCACTCTAAATTTGCATTCTGTTATCTCTACTGGTCCCACACTGGTATTTGGCAGTCCTTTTACTTCTCCCTAGTTGTCACTA